AAGATGTTAAAATCATTTTTTGTGAAAAAATTATAAAACAAACTTTCGAACATAACTTAATACAATTATTTTTTCCCCGAAATGGTGGGTTCATGAGTAAAATTAATTTGCCAGACTTATTAAACTTTACAATTTAAAGTTTTAAATGACTTCGTTTTTGGATAGTTGATCTGCATAAATATAATAATGAGATTATATGATTGAAATGAATTTAATTGTAAAAAGGACGATTAGGTATTGAAAATTAAAAGCACATTTTTTATTTTTATCCTAAACTGATAAGGTTATAAGGACGAAATTCGATGGGTTGGCAGTGTACATATTAGTTCCTGAAAGATATTTTTTCAAAAATAACTATTGGAAAATGTTAAGAATTTTCAATGATAAAATTTTAAAAGGACATTTTCAATATCTATTCGTCTGTGTTCACGAAAAGATAATTTTTTTTTTGCAATTCCACAGAAAGTTCTCTTTCATTTGGTTCCCTTATTGTTATTCTACATTACACTGAATTTTTAAAATAATTTTTTGTATTAATCGTGTCCGTGAAATTTCAAAGTCCTTTAAAAAAATCCTGATGTCAGAGAGAAAAACGAGAAACTAGTTTCGCGAGTATACAGATTTTTTTGTGGTGTAATATAGGGGTCTGGCTGGACCTATTAGCTACGAATATGATGTTAACAACAAAACATCCTTATAGCTACCCTTTTATTGTCTTTCTGATCCTGATTTAATTTATAAAGGATAGCAAATTAAACTTCAGGAAAAGTCAAAAAACTTCAAATCGCTAGCTTATTTAAAAATGCGTTTCTTTTACAAGTGAAACAGAAAAAGGTCTAGCCGGACCCGCCTGCCTAAAAGTGGGTTAAACATAAATTGATAAGACGATAGCTCAAACATTGCAGTTCATTTAAGAATTCGAAAAACATTTTTAAAACTTAAAGAAAGATATATTTGGAAAAATATGAGACAAGTGGTAAAAGTATTTATAATTTACTTATAGAGACAGACACACCAATGACAACTTAGGAAGCCATAACCACATAGGCCCACTGCGCGTATCAATTGACTTCAGATATATGGGCATATATCCGGAGCCTTGCGATTCAACGCTAAAAAACGTAAATTTTTTAATTTAACGCACAAAAATAAATTTACATCAAATTGTTGGAAATCCATTGAGTAAACATCAAATTATTGTGTGATTCATTGTTCTAAAATGCTTAAGCTGGGATCCCACGATTGCCGCAATACACCAATTATTGCCTCATTTTATGCCCCAATCGTGTGATTTCACAATACATTGACTCATGCGGCAATAGAGGCCGATATTGTGCTTACTGTGCCCAATCAAATACGGCCCGTGTGCGGCAATCGTGTGATAGCTCGATTGGCAATCATGGGGCAATGAAAATTTCAAAATTGCGGCAATATTTATTGTATTCTTGTGCGGCAATTGAAGTGAACAATACACATCAATATTTAGGCTGTTTATTAATACTTACTTTTTTGCTTCCTTATGTGTCCAAAAATCACTGAAATTAATATCCTTGTTTTCGGAAGCAACATAACTTTTAATTTAATTTGTAGTGAAATTATAATTTTTCTTGAAGTCCGATAACGGAATCTTTGCCGCGATATATACCACCACAAGCAAAACTCATACGAGAAGAATACGAAAGGTATTTTATGTCACCAAATGGCGGACTGCCATGACAGTATAAATTTATTAAAAAAAAAAAAACTTAAAAGTTCAATACAGCCCACGACAAAGCAGTAGAACCTTAACATTTTGACCAGTCTTGACTATTTGTCTTCTACTTATTTAATCTTCATTATTTTCGTATAAAAGTATAGCTCATTGTCTAACAAAAACTGCATAAATCCAAATTGCAAGCTTTATACAAAAATTATAAAAATTTCTTAAACTTTTGAACACAATCCCACGGTTTATAATTTGGATTTCTAGAAAAAAATGGTTATTTAGTTTTGTAGCTCATTAAAATTTAGTACAATAAGGTGGAGGTTTGAAGTTGCTAAAAGATCCTGTTGATTTTTTATAATTTTTTTAGCTGACGGTATTATGCAATTTCTTCTCTGTAAATTACTTTGTAAACTGCAAAACAAAATTTTTTCTAGAAACCCAAATTAAAAACCATTGAATTGTG